GCAATGCCTCATGGGACTTGTAGTTCCACAACAGCTAGAGGGCTGGTTTTGCCCACCCCTGGACAATTGGGTGCGATGTCATGGCATTCACTGGGTGGACTTTGTGGAGACAATATCACCGGCCATGAATGTCTATTAAAAAACTTTAAATCCTAAAAATACACCTAAGTACCATAACCATGGACAACAATGTATCTTATTTGTGTATCATCACTTGGCTGTAGATCCTCAAATAATCTCAGGGCCCATTCGCACCACACCCAGATCATGACCAGACCAGATTGTTTACGGACCCAAAATGCATCCTAATGTATCCCTATGCTATTTCTGGCCTCTGTTCACACCAATGCCATCCGTTCCAGACCAGAAAAATACTACAGGTCTCATTTTTTCTGGTCTGGAATGCATGGAAATGCATAAACGCACTGGAACGCACATAAAAACCCATTTTAAGCTAAAACAGAAAATGCTCGGAAATGTGGCAAAACGCAATGCACTGCGATACCGTTTTTTTCGAGTACCGATATTTATACTTTGGTGCGTGCCTATAACGAATACCGGTACTTCCAGTAGCATGGAGCTGGCTTCTCAGGCAATCAAGTGTTTTATTACCCGTGCCCGGCTTATTGATTGCCCCAGAAGCCGGTTCCATGATTGGCCGGCTCGATGCTGATTGGCCAGGAAGCAAGCCAATCGGCAATTAATCGGCTTCCTAGCTAATCAGGAAGCCGGGCTGTGAGTCATTACCCACGGCCTGGCTTCCTGTTTGCCCGGGAAGCCGGCTCCATGTTCCCTCACGGCATTGCCGATCTCCCTCTGACCGGAAGTTCCGGTATCTGGGAAGCTAACGGACCATTTGGGCGAGCACGAGTACTCTTCAAATACTCGGTATTGAAACTAGTTTCGGTGTATCCCTAGTGGCTACTATTGTTCCCCATAGTCCCTGTGTGTGTTGTAAAGTAGTCACCGCTCCAAGCTCGCTCCCGTGATGGACTACAATCTCATGTTTAGTTTACTAATTTGTATTGAGATTGTAGTCAATCCCGGGAGTGAGCTTGGAGCGGTGGCTACTTTACAACACACACAGGGACCATGGGGGACAAAGGTAGCCACCACTCCAAGCTTGCTCCCGTGATGGACTACAATCTCATGTTTAATCATTTGTATTGAGATTGTAGTCCATCCCTGGAGTGAGCTTGGAGTGGTGGCTACTTTGGTTCCACATGGTCCCTGTGTGTGTGTTGCAAAGTAGAAATATAGACACCGGCACTCCAATAGCAAATCAAATACGTCTATTGACTTATGAGCAGCATAACGTGATGCAACGTTTTGGGGTCTCACAGGATCCCCTTCATCAGGCAGAACAAGTGATACAGATGCAGGTGAAAACACGTGTATATATACACACCACAATGTGAAGACAAAATGGACTTTCTCCTGTGTTATAAAGTAGTCACCGCTCCAAGCTCGCTCCCATGATGGACTACAATCTTATGTTTATTTTACTAATTTGTATTGAGATTGTAGTCCATCCCAGGAGGGAGCTTGGAATGGTGACTACTTTACAACACACACACACAGAGACCATGGGGAACACAAGTAGCACCCCTCCAGAAGGAAGGACGGTGTCGGCACCAATTCAGAGATGATTGGAGGATCTACAGCCGAGCGATACACAAATACGATACATTGTTGCTCATAGTGAAGGAACTTGTAAGGTTTAGCTCCTGAGTTTAGTGTCACTTTAAAATACTGTTACCCCTCAGTATATTTGTTTCTACCTGCGCCCCTCGGTAAGTCTTCCGCTCCGAAATCTAGTCACCGTTTGTATGACCTGAACCCCGGAGCAGAGCTTTGCCTGTAGTAATCATGTAATGTATCAGCACATTGCTCATTCAGGAGATCTCGTTAAGACATTTTTATTGGACTTCTCAGAAAGTAAAAGTCGTCCTGCCCAGCCGAGCGCCCGTGAGGCTGAGCTGGAGGTGACACAACTAAGCCGCATGGGGTTGGCTCGGTTTAGGAAGGATTGGAGAAGGAGCTGCGGAGATTAGCCAAAGAGGGATCGTCCTCGCATAAGGAGGAGCGTCGCCCAGGAGGGTCTGCTTATTACATGTGACGCGTGTATAGAGATCTCCGATGGAGGGATCTGAGAGGACGGTGCGAGCACGTCACCCAATAATAAAAGGAGCAGGTCAGGCAAGCGGAGGAGTCGCGGTTCTGGAAGTGAGGAATGGCTGGTTCTGTAGGCAAGAGGTCGTTTTATATCAAATACGGGGATGGGACTCCGGGCAAATCCAATCTGGCTGCCCCAGCACTGCAACGGTTAACTGCTCATTTGGTCTAGGGAGCTAAAATAACAGTTGTACTCGCCCGAATCATGATCCTGGCTGGCTCCAACCCGTCTCCCCCCACTCCGGCAATGGTATGTCCCTCGGCATCCTCTCATCCCTATTGGACGAAATGATTCGTAGGAACTTAGACTGCTGGAGCGGAGGGGGAGACGGGCTTAAAGGGGTTCTAAACCCTCCGGGTTTTTTTGCCTATATCTACTGCTAGCATGCAGCAGATATAGGCAAGTAGTTTATAAAAAAAAAAAACCCGCTTGAACTAGTTTTAAACGTACCTCGTTATCACCGCTCGTTCCCGCGCCGAGAATCAGGAAGTGATCGTACGGCCGCAAAGGATCTTGGGGCAGGCGCATGCGCAGCCAGGGCAGCCCCTCTGCAAGGGGTAAGCTTTTATTTTTTGCTTTAAGTTCACCATTCCTGAAATCTGCACAGGCCTGTTTGGCAGCAGTGAAGACCTGACTTTTTTTTCAGTAACCCATACAGGTCTTGTCCCTCCCCCCCAGCCCATGACTAGGCAGTGAAAGCTAAAGCGGCAGACTGATGAGCTCATTTGTCACTCTGCCCTCTTTTGCTATCAGCGTGCTTCTTGCACCTGACTGGTTCCTTACGCTGCTTCTCCCACCCGATGTCTAATCTGTGGTGTACCGGGGCTGCAAGATGCTGAGCCGAGGTCAGAGTCAGAATCAGAATTGTGCTGCTTGCCTTAAGGAAAGTACATTTGTATTAATGAGAACAGAACTCGTTACTTTGTCTTCTCCGTGCGCCCCGGGGGGGTCAGCGTCATCGCATTGTATACTATAATAATGATTGTACGATGGGGCATGCCAGGATTCTGATTATGAAACCTTCTCGGCTGGCACAGACCATAGTATGTAGATTTGTACAATCACACGGCTTTGCAACCTTAGATCTAGTGCCAACTCCCCATCAGTTTAATAGAACCTGCCCATTCTTTGTGATTGGACTGGACCACTGGATGTTTTGTCCCCCTTCTCCATGGGTTTAGATATCTGCACCCTCAACCTAACCTTGTAATGTGGGCGGGGAGATGGGAGCTGTAGTAGCAGAAGCCGCTCACTTCCAGCTCCTGAATTTATGAATGACTTGTCGGCGCCTGTCCGGGGTTCTCGTCCTGGCCTCTGATGCCCGGGGGTTCTCGTCCTGGCCTCTGATGCCCGGGGGTTCTCGTCCTGGCCTCTGATGCCCGGGGG